CTATTTAGAACAACTCTTCTAAGAGAAGAAAAAGTAATATTGTTGTCGGACAAAGATGTTCCACCATCACGGCCACGCTGGAACCATGGAACCGTAAACCGGTCTGCAACGCTTGCTACGATCGGCAGTTATAACTTAGCAGTATCGCTTTTGCTCGTTTTAAGGTTCTGCATCGAACGTTGAGTATTTTGGCTCTGGCACTATTTCTGTTTTGACTTGCAGATCGTGCGTTCCCTATATAATGTTCTGATTCCTTCTGCTAGAGCTTTGAGCCCTTTTAGGATGATACGGTCCACTACTTTAATTGCATATTGCATACTAAGCATTCTTTTGGTTCGTAATTTAAAAGCTAAAATTTTGTTTCGAATCATAGTATATCTAGATTTAGTGGCTATCTGAGTGTATAGTAGTATGCTCCCATACGCCTAAATAATCAGCTTCTTTCCAAGTCGTTCTGCTGTACTTTTTTCTCAAACCTTGGAAAGCGTAAGAATCGGTGCACAAGACATCTTTGCATGTAATTATTGTTTCACTCAACGAAAAGTCTTGTATAAGGTTTGTCATTTGGTGGAGTAGATGTGATATTTTAGATGCAAATTTTAAGGGAAGTTTTGCTGAGTGAAATCGTATTATTTCTTAGAAGATCGCTTTTGAGAATGTATCAGACATCTTGCAACAGAGCTGCTCTTGCATCCACTTTTTTGCTTGTGCTGTTGCTAGAAGTGTGGCAAAGCCTTCTCTCAGGAGCCCTCTACACATAACAGGCGCCAGCAATGTGGCCAGCAGCTGCTTCAAATATGAGCATTTGCCCTTTGGCTGATCTAGTAAACAATACCCGCGCGCCTCAACCTCTTTAACAGTACTATGACTGCCAGTCGAGCGGGAACTTTGGCAGCTTTTTCTTTCACCTGAATTGCTAGGCCATGAGGTTCCATAGCAGTGAAGTATGCTGTGCAGTAAACAAAAGTTTAGCACAGTAGACATCGACCTAATTGATGCGGATTCATTCATACAACGTCAGCCTTGGAAAAAATCGAGCGACTGTTGCGATCTTGTCGTACGACCTTTTCGATCTCTTGTTTTGGTACCTTTTTGAAAATTTTGTCACTCGAAAATCATTTGATTTTCTTAATCAGTAAACTTTCTTAACCACCAACCATTGATACTCAAGTCAATTACTAGCGCATTCCAGACTTGCCATCACATACCGAATCTCTCTCATTTTCGCTGCTATCTTCATGTGACAGCATTAGCAGTTTTCTAGTGTAGTTTTTGCGCTCAAACATTGTGACCTCGATTCTCGCTTTTTCAAACATCCCATATAATCGAAACCTTCCACGACAGGGATAAAGTTTTTTCTTTCTTCTCTATGCAATGATTTAGTCTAGTTGAACAGGTTTCTGCGTATATGCAGGACTCTGCTCTGGAACTTCAATTAGTCTACGGTTTGCAGTTCATTCTGCTAAGAATCTAAAACTACTTCTCTTTGAAGTCACAGTTCCAGGAAATTTGCAAATCATACTAGTTTACACTTTGCAAACTGCACTCCGACACATTGCAAACTTGTAGGGAAGTGCATCCGAACTTTTTATTCTACATCCATTGTGTTTGGGAAATTTTAGTGGCAAAAGAGTAGCAAAATAATGAATCTTAAATTTTATAGTTATTTTCTCATAAAAACATCTTCTGATGAGTCGTTTGTGACAAACAAATCGGTCTAGTAAGACTGTTCATCTAAAACTGCTCTTACTTTCTTTGACGTCCTTTTTTGAGAATCTATGCCTCTTTCGATGACCTCCAAGTTTGCGAAACCAATTGTGA